ATAAATATATATAATAGATATAGTGTCAAAAGTTCCAGGCCAACTAAATCTCAGAAAGTATACATTTTTGAAAAAAATTTTAGACAAAAATTGTAGGGTTAAATTGAACATTCTGTTTTTGATTCCAGAATTTAATTAATAACCGATATCAAAAGCTTTTCAAAACGCTACAATAAAGTACATTTTCATTAAGTATTTTTTTAATTATAACATTTGAAAGTTGCACCAACATCATTAGTATTACTATGTAAAATGTCTAACCGACGAGATCTCTTGAATGTTATTCAAGATCTCTTGAATATTATTCAAGATGATGCCTTGGATAACATTTGTTAAGATCAAGGTCATTAGAGATTATTTCTCTTATTTTCATTTTTGCATTAAAAATTCATTTTAATGTAAATACTGTATATAATTCACATTGAATTATTTAAACATTAAAAATCCAGCTTCGACCAATATAAGCTTCTAGTTTATCGATTATGTTCTCACATGTACGGTCTAAAATAAGATTCTTATATTTTATATTATTGTTATTAAATGTTACCTATTAAGTGATAATAAATATTGATGAAGAGACTTTTTAGGTGACTAGTACGCATTCAGCAACTCTCCTCTAAATTTACAATTTAACAAAATCTCTATATTTTGTTTTAAATTTTGAAAAGTGGATTTCTTTCACGCATTTCAGAAAATTGATTTCATTAAAAAAAATTCGCTCTGATATCAATGAATCTTCCATGGAAAATGGATACATTTAAAGCAAGAAATTCTATATACATATTTCTGCACTTATCTCTGCATTTTATTTAATTATTTAATTTTCTCTCGTTTTTGAGAGACACTTTAGTTGTTATACTTTTAATATCTTATCTTGAAGAAGATAAAAAAACAAAGATATATCTTGCGATTAGACATATCGTTTTATATATCGATTTATATATCGTTCTATAATTTACGCAGAATTCATTAGTTGTATGCACGAAACCCTACTTGACTGTAATTATATAATGTGACTATAAAAGAAGAAAAATTCGTTTTTTTTACAACAGTAGATCATAGAGCAAGTGTCCAAGAAGTACCCAAACCATATAATCATTTGTGCCGACGAATTGTTAGTAAGTGTAACAACTGAATTGCTATGATAATTATCATTTTACAAACTTTATAACAATACGGTAACAAAAATTAAAATAATTAAATTAAGTGGCTGCTATTTCAAGGTGTCAAATCTCAAAATATACACATATAACACAGATATTAGAATAATGATAGAAGATATGAGAGGTAATGTAATCATTTTAATCTTGTAATCATTTTAGTCTTGTAATCATTTTAGTCTTGTAATCATTTTAGAAATAATTTTTATTGTTCAAATTTTATTGTTCATTTCAGCATATTCTTCATTCATAAAATTTTCAATTTTAATATAAAAAATAAAATATGAATATAGTTTGTATGCATTATTTTTTTAAATTTATTATTTTCATACAACATTTTTATTAAAATTAGAAAAAGAAATTTATTTTTTTCTCAGCTTTTAACTTTTTTTCAAGCTTAGACCAAGAAAATCTCTTAGAGGCCACTGTAGTGATTTTGCTCATAGTGATCCATAGCGACAAATAAAGAAAGAGAATAAGCTTTTATTTCATGTAAAACATAAAAAAAATATATTCAAGCCGGGTCGCGGTCGCTTGAAGAGGGGTTTCAAAATGTTGCAGATTTTTAAATATTTTTACTGAAAGCGATAAGTTGAATGTTATTGCAATTGATTAATACCCTTATTTCAAGACGGGCTGAAACTCCCATACCTCTCAGAAGGGTCGCCATACTGGGTCAAAGTAAATTTTGATGATAAATTTTTTCTGAAAAAAATAAATAGCGACAAAGTTGAATTTTTGTCTACTACTTAATTTTGATATCAATTGTCAAGAAATGATTTCTATATCTTTTGCATGGCAACCATATCTCGAACACATACAATTTTTTTACTCCATATATGTTGATAGCGACAAAAGATTAATATTGGAGAGGTAACTTTTTTACGATTAAATACCATAATTACGGAATTTTATTCCCATACTGATAGAGTGTAAAAGCAAGTGTAAAACGCCGAGGAAATTCAATGAAATTTTGTATTCAATAAAGGAACGCGATAATTTCGACAAGGCCATTTGTTTGCTCTGCGACACATGCTCGCAATTGTGCATACGTTCTTAATTAAAGTACGATGATTGTGTAATATCATACGGCGTCACAAATGCCTAGCCATCTGAATTTGTAGGAATATCGGGGCATGTTCAAGACGGGGCGTGTTCCTTTCTAAATATTCGTTATGACTAATGGTCCAAAAACAATAATGTAAATTTAAAATTGAACTTTTAAACTAGATTTAAACTAAATGTATAATTTATAAGTTAAAACTTAATAATTTATAAATATTTTATCGAGGATAAAACTTAATGTAATCGTGGGACAGAGTCCTCCACATCATTATAAAATTCATATGAAATTTCTTTGTATATAATCCGATAATTATATATGCACGAGAAATCATTATATAATATTAAATGAAATCATGTATTTTACTAAATAACTTCAGATGTAGTGAAAACAATTAGATGAAATTATATAAAATCAAATGAAATCATGTAATCTAGGCAATGTTTCGGTTAGTGATTACCTCCTCGTATTTTATTTACCAAATAACGCAATATTATTTTTTTTTGCAAAAATAAAATCGTAATTGAACAACATTATGCAATTCTTTCTCATTTTCTCAAACTTTATTTTTTTATAAAAGAACAATATAAAAAATTTTCTTTCAATTTTTCTTTTTTTTTAATTTTTTATAAATTATATGTATGTTTAGTTTAAGTTATATTTATAAATTATTACGTTTAGATTAAGTCTAGTTGAAATATAATTCAATTTCAAATGTTTTATAAATTAAATTAGTTCAATTTTAAATTTACATTACCATTTTTCGAATAATTATTAGTCATAATGCATGAATATTTAAAAAGAAACGCGCTCTTCTCCTGCAAATTCAGATGGCTAGGCATTTATGACGCCATGTGTACGTATTATGGAATTATTCGGAATTATTTTCTATGTAATTATTTATTAGAATATGCCCACTTCAAATATTAATAAAAATGTACTCATTCGACGCGTATTTACTTACAATGAAACAATCTGACAAAAAAATGGTCTGCCTCATGACACAAATTATTAAACGTTAATGCTAGAGACTTAGAGAGTTATTAAGAACTTTTATTGTTAAAATTAATTAGAAAATTTAGGTTAAAAAATTATTAACATAATTTGTTCATAAATCTTAAAAATGTGTTTATTTAAATGTGTTTATTCCTTTTCTCTCATATCTATTAGGTGTACAACTTTGCTTCCGCCGTTTTTTTTCCGAAATTCGAGGCTTTATTGTAAAAAACTGGTTATACATTTATGATTCAAAGTATTGTCCATCGCTGGCCACTACTTTCTCCCATCTTTCGGGTAGCGTACGAATCCCGCGTCGAAAAAACTGGTCATCTTTTGAGACCATCCACGAATCGATCCAATTTTTTACTTCTTCATAAGACCGGAAGTGCTGGTCAGCCAGGCCATTGCCATTGAAACAAGTGATAGTCAGAGGGAGCAATGTTTGGAAAATACGGCGGGTGGGGTAGGACTTCCCATTTCAACGTTTCCAAGTATGTCTTGACCACTTTCGCAACATGGGGTCGAGCATTGTCATGCTGCAAAATCACTTTATCTCTCGTTGTATTGCCGTTTGTCTTTTAATGCTCGGCTCAAACGCAATTGCGTTCGATACCGATCGCCTGTGATTGTTTCAGTCGGTTTTAACAGTTCATAATACACTACGCCGAGCTGGTCCCACCAAATACAGAGCATGACCTTGGAGCCGTGAATATTCGGTTTGGCCATCGACGTGGAAGCATGGCCGGGAACTCCCTATGATTTTCTGCGCTTGGGATTATCGTAATGAACTCATTTTTCGTCCCCAGTCACAATGCGATGCAGAAATCCTACCGTCTTTGCCTTTCAAGCAGCAAACTGTTCACAAGCAAACAAACGCCGTTCAACATCTCTCGGCTTCAATTCGTACGGCACCCAATTTCCTTGCTTCTGAATCATTCCCATGGCTTTGAGGCGTTTTGAAATGGCTTGTTGAGTCACTCCCAATGATCGTGCCAATTCTTCTTGATTTTGACACGAGTCTTGCTCAAGTAATGCCTCCAATTCTGCATCTTCGAAAATCTTCTCTCTTCCACCGCTATGCTGGTCTTCGACGTCAAAATCAGCGTTCTTGAAGCGTTGAAACCACTCACTACACGTTCTTTCACTAATAGCGGCCTCACCATAAGTATTTGAGAGGATTCGATGAGCCTCAGCCGCAGATTTCTTCATATTGAAGCAAAAAATTAAACCCTCCCGCAAATGACGAGAATTTGGCTCGGAAACTGACATTTTCAATCGAGAATAACTTTATGATGCAGACACAAATCGACTAATGTTTCTATGGGGTTATGTTGTACAGATGCCCAAGTTTATTGTATGATGTCTATGATATCTATTTAATGTATGATATCTATTTATTTCGATCACCACTTATCGCTAAAGCCATCTATAGGAAAACGGCGGAAGCAAAGTTGTACACCTAATATTTCATAAGTCTTTTTACTAACACATAGAGCAAAAAAAAATCAGAGAAAAAAATTATAACTGATAATGGAAAGTATTGATTGGAATGAACACAAAAATTATCAAAATTATCAAATTAATTATTTATGTTCTTGATAAATGTTTGCGCCAACTCTTTATCTAAATCTTAATACTTATCAACTTTTTGAATAAAAATTTATTATTTCAATAATTATATACAGGATGTCTGGAAATAATCACCAAATATTTCATAGGCAGGTAGAGCGCATTAAACTCCTCTACCATTTTATAAATTTCCCCAATAGTTAATGAGATATTAATCCTTAAAGAACCGAATACACGCGCTCGCCCGGCCTACTACTGCAAAGTCGCGCACCACCGTAAGCCTCCATAGCTCGGACGGCGCGCTTGCCAGACTATCCCCGCTTCCCACGCGCTATCAGTAGGCGTATACAGTATTCGCAGTAGTATTCGGCTATCTTTAAGGATTAATATCTCGTTAACTATTGGGTATGAGAAAAAGTTCGTAACGATTTTTTAGTAAAATTAAAGTGTTTTTCTTAGAAATCAATTTATTTAACCAAATATGTTCTATTATTTTCTATATTATTTTCTATGATATTTTGCCATTTTTGGGGCAGAGCCACAATTCCATCGCGATAGAACTTCTGTGGTTTCTGATCGAAAAACTGCTTCAAGTGATTTTCAGGCTTCTTTTGAAGCTATCTTTATATCATTAAGAGAGTTCTGCAGAGACCTAAACAAATGATAGTCTGAGGGTGCTATGTCAGGACTATACGGTGGATGCATTAAAACTTCCCAGCCAAGCTCTCGCCATTTTTGCCGAGTCATCAAAGATATGTGTGGTCGAGCGTTGTCGTGATGGAAGACGACACCTCTCCTATTGATTAATTCTGACCGCTTCCTCTCAATTGCTTGTTGTAATCTCTGCAATTGTTCACAGTAGAGTTCAGAATTAATTGTTTGATTGGACGATAAGCTCATAATGAACGATTCCTTTCCAATCCCATCACAACATCATCTTCTTCCTCGTCAATTCAGATTTTGCGATTGCTTGCGCCTTCTCTCCTTTCTTATCCACGATCTTTTTCTAGTTGGATTGTCGTAGGTGATCCATTTTTCATCAACAGTTATCATTCTCTTCAGAAATGGCTCAATTTCATTCCATTTCAGTAGCGTATCACAAATGTTAATTCGGTTCATCATGTTCCTAACTCAACTCGTGAGGAACTCAAACATCGAGCTTCTTTTTGCATCCAACTTTGTGTAAATGATTTAAAACTGTTTTGTGGTCGATGGCTAGTTTCCCTGGCAATCTCCACAGTGCTCACATGCTTATCACGCTCGACTTTTACCATTGATTTCATCAACTTTTCAATGATTGGTCGACCGGAGCGAGGTTTATCTTTCACATCGAAATTTCCAGCATGAAAGCGAGCGAACCATTTCCGTGCTGCTGATTTTGATAGAGTTCTTTACCGTAAATAGCGCAAATTTTTTCACAAGCCTGCAGTATTCTTGTCTTTATCGTAGTGATACTGCAAAATGTAGCGAATTTTTTCCTTATTTATTTCCATTTTCAAAATAAAATAACTTTTGATCCACTTCACTGATTTCAATCTTTTTCGGCTCAAAACAAAGGTTAAAATGTCACTTTTTAAACGCACGTCTAGTGTTGCCGATGCGATTAGTAGTTGCCGACTGCTGAGCATTTAATGCCATCTAGCGGGAAAAACGCCACGAACTTTTTCTCACATCCAATATTAGAAAGACTTACAAAATGGTAGAGGACTTTTCGATTCAGTTTAGTACGCTCTACCTGCCCATGAAATAATCGCCAAATATTTCATGGGCATACTTCTCTCAGCTATTGTTGGAAACTTCTGGAACACATCTTTTGGAATGGTGTTTAGCTGAGCCATCGCGTTCCACATGTCTTCTCTTGCTGCCAAGTGGTCTGGAGTTACTACCAGAAGGTCCTTCATCGCCTTTGTGATGCTGATACAAATGACCGGATCTGTGAGCAGCGACCACTTGGCAGTTCATCATGATAATGCATTCCATCACGATAATGCATCACCGATTTGAATCAAGAAAAGACATTAACATCATTTTAAAAGACA